GGAGGAGGAGGAGGTGGAGGAGGAGGTAGAGGAGGAGGAGAAGGACCAGCCCAGGGGCCCAGGAGGTGTGGGAAGCCCTTCTCAAGGTCTGTCCTGTCCCTGTCACCCTCAACTTCCACCTGGACACTCACCGATTTGTCACTTTGATGGGGTTGGTGGCGGCGTAGTTGGGAAGGCCTCCAGTGCCACTGAAGTCCCCACCATCCTTGTCGTCTGGGTTCTCAGGGGCCCCTGGTGAGTGCCGCTTGGTGAGGTTTCGGGGCTGGGCAGCATCACCCAGGTCTACGCGGTGCGCCCTGCCATCTGCCTCAATGGCCACTGAGCGGAGGGAGCGATAGCGAATGTAGCTGGGCTTGTACCCTGTGGGCATCGAGGGGTGGCAGAGTCAGGGAGGCAGGAAGGGCTGGCCGGGCTGTCTGGGCAGTGGCTCCTTCATCAAGAGCTGCTAAGAATGAGGCTCAGCACTGCCTGCGACCCGAGGGGTCATGAAATCTCTCCGCCTGCTCACAGATCTTGGGAGGGCCTCGAGCCGATCACACCGGCAAGACTGAAGTCCTAGAGCTAAGAAGGCACCGGCTCGAGAGGATTTCAAACAAGAGCTGCGTACGGGTAAAGAAATGACGGTACAGCATCTGTACAACGCAATGCGCCACCAGGAGCAAGGTTCCGATTCATGCCAGAGCGTGGATGAGTGTCAAAAGCCTGCTGCTGAGTGACAGCAGCCAGACACAAAGCGGGCTTGTATTGTTCATTGTATTTATAGGAACTATCCAGAATAGGTAAATCTGCAGCGGCAGAGAGATCGGTGGTTGCCGAGATGGGGAGAGAGCAGTGAGGTGTGACTGCGGGCGGGTGCGGGGTTCCCTCTTGGGGATGAAATGTTTTGGAACTAGGTAGGGGTGTGCAACGCTGTGAACATAAAATGTCTCTGCATTGTATACAACTGTAAGTTTTATGTTATCTCAACTTCACCTCAATTAAAAAGGAAAAAAGTATCATGGATATAAAAACGCCTTGAACTGGGAAGAGGGCCCTGCAGTGCCCGCCTGTCTCTGGAGAGACATGGATGGGGACTGGGGAGGCCACTTAGCTTCTCCGAGACCCAGTGAGCTGGAGGCTGCCCGCCAGGTGGGTGGGGCACGAGGCTGAGAGCGGCTTTACGGACACCCTAATGCCAAAAACTCAGTGCGTGCAGGCTAACGTGACACCCCAGAGAGCATGCATCTTCTGTGTCTCAAAAACAAATCTGAGGTGTTGACATGAGAGAAAAAGGGGAGATGGGGGCGGTGATGGACGGATGCAGACTTCCAGCTTCCGGAAAGGAAACAGATGTCTCCGCCCACAGCTCCACACGGTCAGGATGAGCCGGAGGGGAGCGGCCCCTCTGGCTGGCCAGTGTCTTCCCTGCTGTGGCCCTGGCCACAGCCCCGCCACGCCTTCCTGTGTTAAACCTCTGCCACCCGGCACGTGTCTGGCCCCCAGCATGCACTGGCGTTGTCATCCTTCTCCAGATGTACGTGGTTTAAGGAGGAGAGCCTGGAGCCAGTTGTGGCCCAGCTTTTGTTGGGTCCCAAGTGACCCCGAGATGGTGACCAAGGAGGACCCGCTGGAGGCAGAAGGCGGCGGAAGGAGGGAGGAAAGGGCTTCCTTTCCCATGTGGCCCGAGTCTCGCTGTCCCTGCTCTTGGGGGATGTTTTGTATCTTTCAGTCCTCAGGCACCTTGCATCAGAGTCACAAGGGCTGAAGAGGGCCCAGGAGAGGCATCCCCTCTCTAGCAAAGCCTTGGGCCTTTTCTGGCACGGGGCAAGCCTTCTCCGGGGCCCTTCCCTCCCTCCGCTTAGTCGCCCTGAAGCGAGTGCACAAAGTGCTGAGGGCACTCCCTGTCCCGCGAGGGTCACCCTGAGAGACCCCGGACGTCGCCCAGCGTGTTCCCAGCGTGTCCTCTCTGCTCCTTTTGTGTCAGTCGGCTCAGGAGTGAGCCGCTTTGCCTCCTTCCACCACCCTCCTTCTCCCAGGTCTCGACCCAGGGGCCTCTAAACCATGGCAGAAGGGCCCAGGCCGGCCTGTCTGTCTTTGGAACACAGTTTCCCTGGGCACAGCTGCTGCCTTTTGCTTAGACCTCTGCAGGCGCAGGGCCAAGCCGCTGACTCCGTAAGGCCAGCAAAGCTCAACACCTTTCCTCTCCACTCTTCACAGAAATGGTCTCCCGGCTCTGTGTCAATCCTTTCCTGGACTGAAGCCACACGACTGGCTCTCCCTGTCACTCTCACCTCCCTGCCACACAAATGGGGCGTGGGACAGGACTTCACTGCCCGGCGGCCGAGAGCTCTGGCGCTGCAATGGTATTTTCAGGTGCAAACCCTTGAGCACATGCGTGGGCCCTGGCGATTTGGGCAAATCCTCATGACGGTGCCTGCCTTGCAGGGCTCCTTGGAGAACGGCACAAAACAGAACCAGTGAAGCGTTCGGTGTGATGAACTGGTGCAGACCAGCTACCGTGGTGGCTGGGGACGCTGCCTGCAGCTATGTCCTCACCTCAGGTGACACCCTGGGCCTACTCCCTGCCTCCCTAGGCCAGCATCCCCCTGTGTGATGTGGCTGCTTGCGCCCACTGTGCCGCTCACCTCCCTGAGCCGCGTCGGTCACCTCTCTGTGGCTGGGACCCCCCATGCCTATTCTGAACACACAGACTTTGTCCTTCGTCTTCCTCCTCCTCAGAACACTTGCTCTCTGGCTGACAAGGCCTGCTCCTTTCTGTACCCAGTTCTGAATAAATGTCCACTGAGCACCATTCTGTAGCCGCCACCCCTCTGTCCGGTCCCGCCACTGCTGCATCTCCTTCACGCATTTTTCACCGGGGAAGTGGCCCTCTCTGTTAACTTCTTCACCTCTTGTCTCATACACGAGGTCCACGAGGGTCAGTGTCTCTCTAGGTCAACTCTGATCTCAGTGTCTGGCACAGAGTTCAAGAAATGAATGAACCCCGGCCACCTGGTCCCATCTCCCGAGTCCTGGTCCCCATCTCCTGTTCCCGGCTCTGCCTTCTGTTGTGGGCTGGCCAGCTCGGCCTGGCTTCTCTACACCACAGCCGGGATCCCAGCAGGTCAGGGTGGGCCAGGACTTCCCGACCTTACCACTGCTGACACGTTGGGGCCAGCTGAATGTCTGCGGTGGGGGCTGTGCTGTGTGTTAGCAGCATCCACAGACTCTGCTCACTAGATGCCAGCAGTACCCGTCCATCACACTCAACTGTGACTGCCAAAAATGTCTCCAAACATTGCCAGTATCCCCTGGAGGACAGAAAGCCCCCATTTAGCCTGCTCTAGGCTGGCTGCTCAGAAAAGAGGGACAGGCCGGGTGTGATGGCTCACGCCTATAATCCCAGCACTTTGGGAGGCTGAGGTGGGTGGATCATGAGATCAGGAGTTTGAGACCAGCCCGGCCAAAATGGTGAAACCTCATTTCTACTAAAAATACAAAAATTAGCCAGGCATGGTGGCGCACATCTGTAATCCAGCTACTCAGGAGGCTGAGGCAGGAGAATCGCTTGAACCTGGGAGGCAGAGGTTGCAGTGAGC